ACTCAAAGACACCATGCTGCAGTTTAATACGAATGCCCCACTCGGACACAGTATACTGACTCATAGCCGACCATTAAACCCTGTTATATCGAATGTTTTAGCTTCTTAATGCCGAGTGCCTAGCAGGTAACAAGAACCATCTGTTAACGTCTTTTGGTATGACGGGTCAGGGTATTGAACCCCCGACTTGCCGCTTTCTACCATAAGACCACGGAGGCGATCCGATCTTCATTTAGTTGGAATTTCAAACGTGGTTATGAACCTTATTGCAGGGACTTTAGACTATTTTATTGATTATTACAAGAAAATCTAAGTCACATTGGTTAAGAAATAAATCCTAAATTTAAGATACTAAATACCAAATAAGTTTTAAATACTTTAACCTAGGACACCAGTTCGATTTTAGCATTATCAATGCATTTATTCTGATGATGAACTACCATAATAAAATCAATGATAGTTTGAAATTCCGAAAATTCATGCAGAAACATTTTGAGTTCCAACAGTCCAGAACATCTCTTCATGAACGCCAGACCTGCTTGACTCTCTGACACCGAGAATTCGGACTGATGTATCTGAGAACAACTCTGAACATCGTAACGTTAACAGGTTCACGCGCACTGGTTACACAATGTTGTAATGTTCGGATTTCAGAAATTCAGTACAATCATTTCCGATGGGGCATATTGGACGTTTAGAAGATATGCGTTTTCGAGATCTATGTATCAATTGGTCTGCATTCACAATGGAATTGATATCAAAAGGCTCAGCAAGATAGTATGAGGTATCTCTATAAAAAGGTATCCAGAACATTCACTCGGGTACGCCAGCTCTCTTACCAGACGTCATTGGGGTTACAGGGGGTGCAGTTCTTGAACCAGAATCCAGACTGGTGTACATGGGCGTAGTTCAGAGGGCTGTCATCGCTATCGTGGTCGAAGGTAGAGAGCGCTGTCTCCCCAATTCACCCAAACAATCACCACTATTGCGTGAACTGTCTCTGGTTCCCCATGTGGCTTCATTGACATTTGATAACCATCTATACTATTTAGTTAGAATTTCTTATACACCTGCTATCTGATGGAAGAGGTGAACACATCTCTGTAGATAAAATGAAGTCTGTAATTTTGAAATTTTGAAATTTTGTCATTTCCGAGACAGAAGTCATAAGGTAGATTGACCAATCCATCTTTTTAATCTTTGTGGAAATTTCATGTTGCTGTATGAATGTATCGACGCCAAATGCCATCCTACACCAGACTTGAAAGGGTTCTGGAGACGCGGCAGGGTGAAATTGAAACAGTTTTTTTTCCCCTTCATTGTGACCACTGTCAACCCACGAACGATCTGAAAAGATCTTGTCAAAATGAACTTAATTTCCGGACTCCTTGTGAAAGATATGACAGGTTTCACCTTCGATCCAAATAGACTAATCAATTTATCGTCGTGACAAGTCTCGATTGGGCCAATCCGAGAGGTTTAACAGAATACTTACATCGACAGACGAATTGAAACATTGAAAATAGACCTCATATTAAATATTAATATGTTAAGATCATGACAAGCAAAGTGACATCTTTTTAAAAGTCATGATATACACAAAGAAAAAGTTAAGCACACCCAAATATATTTCATTATTGTTTGGTCCAAATATTTGTAATAGTCATGGAAGATATAATTACGGGAAGAATGATGTTTCCTCGAGATGATGTAATCAGTCATGCGTGACGAAAGCTCACGTGCCAGCATGGTATTCCCGTGCAGCATGCTACCCTCGAGTATCTCTGAAAGCAGTATATCTAAACGTTAAATTGCTTACTTAAGCTCGGTTTTAAACCGTTATTCCATGACATTGTGTGACCATGGCACGAAGGCCATGATCAAGAGTCACAAGATGTCAAATATTCGGCATGCATAACGCAGGAATGTCTTGTAATGCCATTGGTCGGAATTTGGGGTATCATCACACTGTCATAAGCCGTTTAGCGGAGAAACCGGTGATGTACAGGGCCGTCCCAGATCCGGAAGACCTCCTGTGATAACACATCGCGCAGACAGGGACCTTCTTCGTCTCAAACGTCGAGAACCCTTTTTAACAAGTATTCGTCTGAAACAGCTGTGGTTGCCCAATCATCGTTGCACCACCAGAACCGTCAGGAACGGGCAGCAGGACTAAGAGCTCGGCAAGTCATAAAGCGTCCCTTACTGAGAGATCACCACAAAGCTGCTCGTTTAGCATGGTGTATTGCACGACAGAACTGGAATCTGAGAACTTGGAGACAGATCCATTGGTCAGACGAAAGTCGCTTTCAGCTCCACGTCACTGATGAAAGAACGAAAGTTTATAGGCACCTGAACACGGCCTACACCTCCAGGAACATTAAACCGACTGTTGCATACGGCGGGTGCTCGGTAATGGTTTGGGGGTGTATCTCTCATGATTGCATGTTGGATTTGGTCACCATAAGGGGCAACTTAACAGGGGCTCAGTACATCCGGAACGTTTTGAGGCCAGTCGTCGTTCCTCATTTTGACAACCACCCTCTTGCTGCTCGACCTCAGTACATGGATGACAGTGCCAGGCCTCATCGTTCGCATGCAGTCGTGGATTACATTAGGGCCAATGCAATAGCGACTCTACCCTGGCCAGCAATGAGCCCAGATTTGAACCCCCTTGAACATGTTTGTGATATTCTGGGGCGGCGCATACGGGCACGAGATCCTCCTGTACAAGATGTACGCCAGTTGGAAGCAACATTGCATCAGGACTAGTTGTTGTTGACCCATCAACAGATCCAACGTCTGACTGGAGGCTTAAGGTGAAATGCATCATCAGGGGACGTGGCGGTAATACCCCTGACCGAAAGCAACGTCGGTCTCATAGAAATGGCTCTATAGAATAGTTTAAATATACATAAAACACGCCTGTGAGTAGAAAGTCTCGAGCATAGGCCGAAACTATCAAAACCATAGGCGTAACAGGCAAAATCATGGTGAACATATGTGAACGGATCATTGAAGTTTATTGATCACACCATGTGTTCTCGAAAAACGACTAACTGATCACAAGTAGTTCAGTCGTCCCCAAATGTACCAACCATAGCATTTACATCATTCGCGCAGCGTTTACGAATCTGAATATAAAATCATAACGGGGAGCTATGTTATAGGATCCAATAGTAACTTACTATATGTACTATATTTTCATCAAAGTTATTGAACATGTTCACTGCATTTGTGAAGATCAGGGATAGAATAGGTCTTCAGCAACCCATGCTTGCCGTAAAAAGCGACTATGCTTGTCGTAAAAGGCGACTAACGGGATCGGGTGGTCAGGCTCGCTGACTTGGTTGATGCATGTCATTGGTCCCAATTGCGTGAATCGATGCTCATGATGTCTTTCATTGGATTTTCTGGTCCAGACTCGATTATTTACAGACCGCTGTCATATAGCTGGAATATTGCTGAGTGCGGCATTAAACAACAAACCAACCAACCAACCAACATATTTTAGATATCGTAAGATGAATATGTTTCATTAGGCGTTTGTCTTCTTTCTATCGAAATTGTACTTACACTGTTGTTTCAAGCGTCAGTTGAACATACTCGTTGTGTTGTAATGTCTCCAATTGTCACTATTACATTCTTCTTTGTAGAGTTTCTAACCTCCACTGTTGAACTTGTCTGATAGTAAAGAGTTGTTATTACATTATTTCGGCACTAATCTGTAAAATTCTTCTGACATTATAGTGTTACCAAACTCCTCTTGAAAATCATACCTACATTGCAGTGTGTAGGATCTCTACAACAGTATAATACTTACACTATAGTGTTTCCAAACTCGACATCGACATTTTATTTACGTTATAGCATTTCCATCCTCCACAACAGCATTCTAACTTGCCTACAAAGTCCAACCTCTACAATATCATTCTACTCACACTGTACTATTTTGAAACTCTACAGCAGCATTCTACTTACACTGTAATGTTTTCAACCTCTACAATGGTATTCGAATTACGTTTTAGTGCTGCCAAGATCTACTGGATCAATCTTCTAACGCACTTGTGTTTCTATGATCTACGTAGCATTATAATGTTTCCAGCCTCCACTGTAGCATTCTCCAGTATGGAACACCTCATCGAGTGTCCAGCATTGTGCCCCAGAAACACTGTAAGTGACACACGCAGTGTCTTCAGAACACATCCTGGCACATCCAGTCTTCGTAAGTTTGAAAAACTGAACATCGGAATATTGAACAAAAGCAAGAACACCGTGTGATATGTCCTAAAAATATTTTGAATTTCAACGGTGAAAAGCTTCATAAAGATACCATTGAAGTAGAAATGTTGGTTGCTGTGCAGCGGACGATGGACTTGTTTCTATAATTTGCCCAATGTCGAAAGTAACGTCTAAATAAGTCTGTAGAGACGTTGTGAAACGCAATGAATAGATTGTTACATGCTTTTTGCAACGCCTAGTCTATAACTTTCAAGTGTTGACACAATTGAGTGAAAATCTCAGAAAAGGGCATGATAAAAAAGGCCTTATTAACAGTACTTCTTAAGTGTGTTATTTACAATGCTGGGGATCTCTGCAACTCTCGACAATAAACAATGCTTTTTGTACATAGCAGTTATCATTTAAACATTTACTCTTCCATGGCAGGTAATGGTTTAAGAAATGAGTGTGTTCTCAAACGTATATTATGACTTGCCACCACATGAACTGAAATAACATAAAGCAGGTCGAGCAGTTTGATAAGTCTTATTGTGACGGATGTACTTCATCTGCCCGTCATTGGGGACCGACCATTTTCTATTCAGTGTGTGTGCGTGCGTGCGTGTGTTCGTGTGTTCGTGTGTGCGTGTGTGCGCACCTATTTGTCTTTAATCCAAGGATGGTATCTTATGCAGAAAAGCTTATTTCAATGACTTTAGCTACTCAAACCACCAGAACTAGGCATATGCAATATTGGCGGAAAAGTTAATCAGTCTTTGTTAACTGGCCATAAGCTTTATTAACGTTATCAGGGTAGTACAACACACTCCGCAGTGGGGAAACAGTTCATATGATGACACAGGACTAAACTGATAGGTAATGTACACATCATAAGGATCACTGTAAATATATATTAGCACTCATTTTCATGTGTTATCAACCTACTGTAAGATACATTCCGCCCCCTTGAATGATATGACGTCGTGAAGACGTCATGGAGACGTCCAAACGTTCACAGTTATTGTCAAAACATAAATGTCAGAAGGTGCCCATCAATTAACCTGATAACAATGCCGACAATAACATTCAGAATTATTCGGCTGTTACAAACATTGCACATCCACTCAGCAGATTATTACCAATATATGGGGTCCAGAACATTTCTTCAGGGATGCCACTTCTTTGGCCATCGGGGGTTTCAGACCAAACACCGTTTGGGTTACACGATGTGCACGCCTTGAACCAAAATCCAGACTGATGTTCCTGTGCGCAGTTCTGAGGACTGTCATCATGGTCCGCATCATACGTAGAGAAAGGCTGTCCTTGCAGTTCACCCAGACAATCCCCAGCATTGTTAATGGAATTTGAACTTCCCCAGTTGGACGCATATGAAAAGGAATATTTATTTCCCGAATCTATCTGGAATTGAGTATATATCCGCTGTCTGAAGCTCGAAGTCACATCTGAGAGGTCAAATTGAAGTCGGTGAAGGCGACCATTTACAATGGAGGATATCTTGTCATTGCCAAGCCAAAAGTCCTTGGCTGGGTCTCCAAACCCATCTCTGTAATCTTGCCATGAACGGTTGAAGTCAGTGGAGTTAGTGTGTCTTTGTATGTATGTGTTTCCACCCCAACTCATTCGACACCACACCCGGAAGGGTTCGGTAGATAGAGTTGGATGAATGAAGAAGAGTCCCTCTTCACCATCGTAATGACCACTTGCAACACCTTCAGAACAATCTGGAACATACAGCAAAGAATACGTACTTTTAAGAGTTATTTATTGCAATTATATGCCCTGTTTGTTATTTATCAAGACTCGACAAGCAGGTGTATTAAATCGTCATTATCGGATGCATGCATGCTCTCAAAACCTGAATATCTATAGCAAGAGGTTTGCAAATTATTTCCATATTCATGAGAAATCTCGAAATGTTGATTGCACAATTCCGACAATATCATACATGTAGGAATGTGTTTATGAATCGCTATCAAATAGCGATGATACCAGGTGTTTGCCAATATGATTGCGATCATGCCCCTTCGGTCAAGAAATAGACATATATTTGGAAGTAATAATTACACCCAAATTGTTATCATATGTATACACCACGATTCCGACAATATCATATATGTAGGTATGTGTTTATGAATCGCTATCAAATAGCGATGATACCAGGTGTTTGCCAATATGATTGCGATCATGCCCCTTCAGTCAAGAAATAGACATATATTTGGAGTGAGTGAGTTAAAATTTTAAGTCACATCGGCAATATTTCAGCCATATCGTGACTATCAATGGTTGAATATAATACATATACTGAAACTTATATAAAAAACAGCCAACGAGGGACAGTAAAATAACTAGACTTATCACAGAAATGAAATTAAAACTAGTATGTAATCATAAAAATCAATAGCACTATACATTACATTACATTTCATTATAAAAACGGACTATAGATCGCCAGCAACTGAAGGTAGATCACCATGCTAGGGTCCATGGGGACTTACAGTACTTTTGCTACCTGCATGGACCCCAGCCGGATTTATTTGTAGTTGGAAAAACATACTTTGAATGACATATATTTGGAAGTAATAATTACACCCAAATTGTTATCATATGTATACACCACGATTCCGACAATATCATACATGTAGGTATGTGTTTATGAATCGCTATCAAATAGCGATGATACCAGGTGTTTGCCAATATGATTGGGATCATGCCTCTTCGGTCAAGAAATAGACATATATTCGGAAGTAATAATTACACCCAAATTGTTATCATATGTATACACCAAATTCCAATTATTTACCATCATATTCCCATTTCCAAACATGATGTAAAATAGCTACACTCTTATGAAATGTAGGGGTTAAAGAAAAATGAACGTTAATACCAAATATTGGTACAAAAAATACGTATTGGTGACAAACATCCTTTGCAAGAACGTTATACCTGTAAAACTTAGCAGCAAAACACATCCTATAGTGCCTCACGCAGTCGCGCCACACACGTGCGTAGGGTGTCATTCATTGATTTTGACACTTTCAAGGAAGGTCGATCAATGTCTGTAGGCCAGTATTTCTGTCAATCTCAAATATTTTGCTTATCACGCAGTTGTGATTTACTTCATTTTTGTTTGTTTCTGAAATACCGATGTCGAACAGTAAATGGATGGTATCGTTCATGTCGATACCAAACACCGATTCGTCCATCTGCAAAGTCGAAATTGAGTGAGTGAGTGAGTGAGTATGGTTTTACGCCGCTTTTAGCAATATTCCAGCAATATCACGGCTGGGGACACCAGTAATGGGCTTCACACATTGTACCCATGTCGGGAATCGAACCCGGGTCCTCAGCGTGACGAGCGAACGCTTTAACCACTAGGCTACCCGACCGCCCTCGAAATTGAAGTACTCATCACTGAACATGGTACAGCGTTTGCCATTCGTAGCAGCTTATGCTGTCGCGTCATCCACTGGACGACGTGCTTTTATACCTGCATTTGTAAGGCGATGCCTCCCAGTGACATATTCAAACACGTGTAGCAGCCCTGAAGTTACTGTTTATTTTGGACCAGGCCTCATCTTAACGTCTGTTGTCTGACTGTTACAGTTTCCCCGGACGAGAAACGTCATGCTTTTTGACTACTGCATGTCTCCAGCGGTTTTTCTAATCGACACTTCCCTATGTCTTTCCGACTGCCTGCCATTTTTGCCCTACTCTTAAGTCTTGTCTTGGCAGTGGACAGTATTTAAGCCTTTAGCGTCTGGGTCTTTAAACACGTTACATAATATGTTATCAAGGTTACAACATTAATTTCACTTGTTTTCACGACATTTCGAAATTTGACTTGTACCATATGTTGCCGTGTTTCTTTTCAGGCGGACAGTTGACTTGCCTTTGCATGTGTTTGCGATGGGTGCTTACGGTGGAGCAGTTTAATGATGACACCACGCGGGCTCGAAAACCAACTCACCGATCATTAGTCGTTCACAGTCATCCCCAACATATCCACCATAGCATTTACACTTGTTTCCATCATTCGTGCAACGTTTACGAATCTGAAATAAAAAATCCTAACATGGAACATTGTTATAGGATCCAATAGTAACTTGCTTTATACACTATATTTTCATCGTAGTTATTCAACGCCTTCATTCCATTTATGTTACAGTATTTCTAGCCTCTACAGTACCATTCTTCTGACAGTGTGGTATTTCTGACCTCTACATTAACATCCTACTTACACTGTAGAGTTTCCCACATCTACAACAACATTCTATCTACACTGTAGAGATTCTCAAATATTCAACAACATTCTCGTTGTAATGTTTCCAACCGCTACAATAACATTCTACTTACACTTTTCAGTTTTCAATATCTACAACAACATTCTTCTTACGCAGCAGTGTTTCCAACCATAACAGCAGCAGTCTACTCACGTTGAAGTGTTTTCAACCCCTATAATAGCATTCTGCTTTCATTGTAGTGTTTCCAAACAACACAATATCATTCTACTTAGATTGTAGTGCTTCGAACCACTACAGCACCATTATACTTACGTTGCAGTATTTCCTACCTCAACCGCAATGTTCTACTTACGTTGCAGTATTCCCAACCTCAACCGCAACGTTCTACTTACACTGTTGTGTTTCCAACCACAACAGCAATATTCTACTAACGTTGTAGTGTTTCCAATCTCTACAACTGCATTCTGCTTACATTGTAGTTTTTTCCAACCTCTTGATTAGGATTCTACTTACACTGCAGTGTTTCTAAGGCCTACAATGACATTCTACCTTAGTTGCAGTGTTTTCAAACTCTACAACAGCATTTTACTTACAGTGTAGTTTTTGCATTGCAACACAACAGCATTCTACTTACGTTGCAGTTTTCCCAACCTCAACAGCAATATTCTACTTACACTGTATTGTTTCCAACCTCAACAGCAATATTCTACTTCCGTTGCAGTTTTACCAACCTCAAACAGCAATATTCTACTTACGTTGTAGTGTTTCGGACCTCAACAGCAATATTCTACTTACACTGTAGTATTTCCAACCTCATCAGCAATATTCTACTTCCGTTGTAGTTTTACCAACCTCAAACAGCAATATTCTAGTTACGTTGTAGTGTTTCCAACCTCAACAGCAATATTCTACTAACGTTGTAGTGTTTCCAACCTCAACAGCAATATTCTACTTACACTAGTGTTTCCAACCTCGACAGCAATATTCTACTTACGTTGTAGTGTTTCGGACCTCAACAGCAATTTTCTACTTACACTGTAGTATTTCCAACCTCAACAGCAATATTCTTCTTACACTGTAGTGTTTCCAACCTCAACAGCAATATTCTAGTTACGTTGTAGTGTTTCCAACCTCAACCGCAATATTCTACTTACACTGTAGTGTTTCCAACCTCAACCGCAACGTTTTACTTACACTGTTGTGTTTCCAACCACAACAGCAATATTCTACTAACGTTGTAGTGTTTCCAATCTCTACAACTGCATTCTGCTTACATTGTAGTTTTTTCCAACCTCTTGATTAGGATTCTACTTACACTGCAGTGTTTCTAAGGCCTACAATGACATTCTACCTTAGTTGCAGTGTTTTCAAACTCTACAACAGCATTTTACTTACAGTGTAGTTTTTGCATTGCAACACAACAGCATTCTACTTACGTTGCAGTTTTCCCAACCTCAACAGCAATATTCTACTTACACTGTATTGTTTCCAACCTCAACAGCAATATTCTACTTCCGTTGCAGTTTTGCCAATCTCAAACAGCAATATTCTACTTACGTTGTAGTGTTTCGGACCTCAACAGCAATATTCTACTTACACTGTAGTATTTCCAACCTCAACAGCAATATTCTTCTTACACTGTAGTGTTTCCAACCTCAACAGCAATATTCTAGCTACGTTGTAGTGTTTCCAACCTCAACAGCAATATTCTACTTACACTGTAGTGTTTCCAACCTCAACAGCAATATTCTACTTACACTAGTGTTTCCAACCTCGACAGCAATATTCTACTAACGTTGTAGTGTTTCCAACCTAAACAGCAATATTCTACTTCCGTTGCAGTTTTACCAACCTCAAACAGCAATATTCTACTTACGTTGTAGTGTTTCGGACCTCAACAGCAATATTCTACTTACACTGTAGTATTTCCAACCTCAACAGCAATATTCTTCTTACACTGTAGTGTTTCCAACCTCAACAGCAATATTCTAGTTACGTTGTAGTGTTTCCAACCTCAACAGCAATATTCTACTTACACTGTAGTGTTTCCAACCTCGACAGCAATATTCTAGTTATGTTGTAGTGTTTCCAACCTCAACAGCAATATTCTACTTACACTGTAGTGTTTCTAACCTCAACAGCAATATTCTACTTACACTGTAATCCAACCTCAACAGCAATATTCTTCTTACACTGTGGTCTTTCCAACCTCAACAGCAATAGTCTACTTACACTGTAGTTTTTCCAACCTCAACAGCAATATTCCACTTACACTGTGGTGTTTCCAACCTCAACAGCAATATTCTACTTACACTGACTGTAGTGTTTCCAACCTCAACAGCAATATTCTTCTTACAATGTTGTTTTTTCCAACCTCAACAGCAATATTCTACTTACACTGTAGTGTTTCCAATCTGTACAACAGCATTTTATACTTACGTTGCAGTGTTTCCAAGATTTTGGACTTCATTCCACTACTTACTGTTGTGTTTCTAAGATCTACAACATTATTCTACTTTCGTTGTCGTGTTTACAAAATGGATACCGGACACAGATATAGGCCACAGGGAGAAAAACTGTAGACTATGCAAATCTAATAAATGAAAATAACTTGAATTTAGACGTTTACTCCCAAAGTAAAAACGCAGACAGTGGAAAGAAATACGTACAGAACTGGAAAGGGCATGTGAACTCCATATAAATACATTCTGTAAACATGTTCGTAAGCTTAAGAGATATGGCTGAAATATTGCCGATGTGATGTAAAGCATAAACTCACTCACTCACTCGTAAGCTTAGGCGTAAGAGTCCAGTTATTGACAAACTAGGTTACAATGGACATCGTGTTGTTTCTTCGGCTGTTATATGTAAACTGTGGGGTGACTTTTATTATACCCTAAACCTACAAGGGCGGTCGTATATGGTTATTCGAAGGAATTTCGTCCGTCCGTCCTTCCGATGATATGTCTCTTGTGAGACCTATGACTTGAAACCTACTCAATAGACTCTTTTCAAACTTGGTAAACACTATTTGTATCTATAGGAGAGGTGCAGTACAAAGTTTCATTTTAATATTTGAATTTTCTGAAAAATACAGCCTTTTTTCATTTTCTACTTAAATTTTGACTTGAATGTTGTACTTAAACATTTCTGCGACCAATAACTTGAATACTACTGCATCAAATTAAGGAAGAGTTTCCATACAAAAATAAGAGGTACAGTGCAAAGTTTGATTTTGATATGTGTATTTTCTAAAGAAATATGGTATTTTCTAGTTGTGAGCTCATATTAAGTAGAAAAGAAGACAGGCACTACGCACTCCAATTGAAACTCCAATCCTTCCCTGATGTTATACAATTTGATTTGAGAAAAGAATATGGAACAATCATGTCTGTATTCAGCCTTTTCGTATGTGTTAATTTCTACCTAGAAGGAGAATCGCAAGTGTTTGCTGCATATTTAGATAATGAAAAGGCATTTGATTGTATTTTGCACAACGGTCTATTCGTCAAGTTACATGATCTTGGTGTCAAGCCAAGAAGTTGGGCAAGGTACGAGTTGTGTCAGTATGGTTCTTCCTCGTTTTCATAAATGATCTTATGTGTGACCTAAGGAAAGTAAACAATAGTCTCTCCGTTCGTGGAATATATAGAACCTATGTTTTACTGGCCGATGATGCAACACTCTTGTCTATAATCCCTTAAGGCTTACAGTCTTCACTTGATCCAGTTCGTTTATATACCAATCAATGGAGATTCACCTATAATGCCGTTGAGAGTAAATCACTTATGTTATGTAAAATACGACAGCTTCATAATACAGGAAGCTACAAGTTTGGTGATGATATAATTGACAACTCTGACTTTGTCAAATATTGCGGAATAATCATAAACAGTAACTTATCCTGAACAGAAAAAGGCATGACGTGTTACTCAAAAAGCAATAAAATGTGTTAATTCATTACAATCTCTTGACCTTAACTATTCCGACCTTCACCAAGCTGCGTGTGTCAGTATATGGAAAAGAATGATTCCACCAACAAGCTTTTATGGATGTGAATTGTTACCAGCCTTATATGGTAAAGAATATGAAATGGTTTAAGGTCGTTCGCCATGTATAAGGATTTGGTAAAAGACAACCAATAGATTTGTCTATTTCTAACTTAGGAATGTAGTCAATGCATGGCTACATAGATGAATGTAAATTGGAATTATAAGGAAGGATTTGTTACAACGAGTTTAACTCAGTAACGAAAGATCTATTTTGTGCTTACATTGCTACCGACGCTATTGTCAATATCAACTTTCCAGGAAGGATATGCAAAAAAGTGCCATTCAGACAACTGTATCAATAAATATACTGAGAGTGGTAACTTTATATATAGTTTTTCCTTAGTATTTACTTAGCGGTATTTCCAAGATCTGCAATGGAATTATACTTACACTGCTGTGTTTCCAAGATCTACAATGTGATTCTCCTTACTTTGCAGTGTTTCCAAGTTCTACAATAAATGGGATTCTACTAACACTCCAGTATGTCCAAGGTCTTCAACTTCATTCTACTTACGTCGTTGTGTTTCTAACATCTACAACAACATTTAAATTACACTGAAGTACTTCTAACCTCTACTTCAACATTCTGTAGCGTTTCCAAACCTCTAAAAAGTATTTATCTTGGGTTGAAGTGTTTCCAAAATCTACAAATACATTCTACTTACAGGGCAGTGTTTCCAACCTCTACAACATCAATTCTACTTGCCTTGTAGTGTATCCAAGATCTAATACACCATTTCAAACCTGAAAGATCTGCAATGGCATTAAACTTATGTCGCAGTGTTTCCAAGATCTTCAACTGCATTCTACTTACATCGGAGTGTCTCCAACCTCTTCAACAGCGTTGTATTTACACTGTAGTGTTTCCAACATCTACGACAGCATTCTGCATACCTTGTATTATTTCAAAACTTTAGAATAGCAATTAACCTACACTGTAGTGTTTCCAAGATCTACAATGGCAATCTACTTACGTTGCAGTGTTTCCAAGATAGCCAATTGCACTGTAGTGTTTCCAAGGTCTACTGTAGAATTCTACTAACACAGTAGTGTTTCTAACCTCTACAATAACACTTCTGTTCTGTAGTGTTTACTAGATTTACTGTAGCATTCAACTTACAGTATAGTGTTTCCAGCCTCCACTGTAGCATTCTCCGGTCTGGAACATTTCATCGTGTGTCCGGCATAGAGCTCCAGAAACGCTGTAAGCCACACAAGCACTGTCTTCAGAACATATCCTGGCACATCCCGTCTTCGTTCGTACCTGGTACTCTCCCGTGTTAACTGGCGGAGTTTGAAAAGCAGAACATTCAGAATATTGAACAAAAGCAACCATACTGTGAGATATGTCCCCAAAACTACTTTGAATTTCTACCATGAAAAGCTTCAGAAAGATAAAAACTATCATTGAAGGAGACATGTTGGCTGCTGTGCAGTTGGCTGTGGACTGAGGGGATATCACACAGCTAGAAAGTCATCAATTGTTCGCGCTTTGATTTAGGTCAAGATTATCAATACTAAACATGGAATCAATCTTCTTGCACGAAGACGACTCTCATTGATTGATCTGCTCCTATATTGTACCTTTCGTAAAAAGTACCTTCTATATTGGTCAAAAGAATGCTTTGGCAATCGACCAGTCTATGACTTTTAAGTCATAGTACAATTGCGGAGAGAATCTCAGAAAAAGTAATGATAAAAAAGACAAAGTTTCCAAAGTTTCTTGAGTGCTATTAATTAAACTCTCGGATCGATAATAAACTATGGTATGTCGTAAATGGCAGATATCATTGAGTCACCTTAATTATTACCCAATGCAGATAAGGGTTTAAAAATTCATGTTTCCTATGACTTGCACCGCAATTAACAACAGAAGGAGTTCGATAAGCCTTATTATGATGGATGTAATTCTTCTGTCCGTCATTGGGGACCGGTCATTTCATATTCAGTGTCTTTCTTTCTTATCTTTACACTCATGCTATTTCTACGACTTTGGCTACTTAAACCATCGGCATACCTTAATGTTACATCACACGAAGCATGCTGGATTGTACTTGAGGCTGAAGTTGCTGGAACATTGCTCGACATTAAGGGAAAGTTAATTATGGGAAAGTTGAAGTCATCCCTCTTGTCATAGTCTTGTGGATAGTTGTTGTTACTTTGAATCTTTATGCATAAATCTGAATAAAATAAAATACTAATGAGGTGGTTTCACTGGTCTCTGCTATTTCTAACTAAGGTGGGTCAATGAGTGGAGGTGAACTGGCTATTTGACCAAACAATAAGCAAATGTGGCGCAAATGTGCAACATTGTACGTTACACAACATTTGAGACAAAAGTAAACACTATCATATTGTAATATTGTCGAACCTGTCGTATCTTGTCTATGGACAGTCGATCCCAGTTATCTCGAAATTAGGGATATATCGAATCTGTGTCGAAGATGTAAAATCATATCAACCTGTTCTGAGATCCCGAATTCGAGATGAAAAGACATGGCCCCATCTCGAACATTGGGGCCGGTACCAAATGTGACTTTACTATAGGAGTATGTACCTTATCTCGAAATTTGTGTTTGCCACATTAACAACTTTTAGAAGCGAAAATAAGCATTTCACATTAAGGTGAGCACGTATACTAGTTACATGTATATCTAGTACCTTTCCTCACACATCTGACATCGGTGTTAGAGTACAGTGCAAGTTGAACTTATTTTTCGACCAAGTATGTACTTACCCATCCTCAAGATAAAAATATCGGAATCATACAATCGACTCTGTTTGTGGCAGAGATTTCTTATAAATATGGAAAAGGGTTTTGAAGCTTTCATTATTATTGACAAATAAAACATCTTTAGCAGACATGGCGCCTGTTTCCTGTTTACATAAACAAACCTGCTAATCAAAGTGAATTAAAGGAATGAAAGCCGCGTGATGTAACACACAATATCCAAGCTGTGAATTTACAAACTTGAGAGTGGCACTTTGGTGTGGACAAATATTATCATACTATTGAACAATATTTTGAGCAATTCAGTGACCACGTGCCACTCATTCAGCTGTTGATGATTTCCGATTGCTGCTGTGCATAATAAGGTACAAGTACATGTACACGATTTGTCAGGAAAAAAGTTTTTCCTTAAGTTTGTCATGCAGGATTGTTGTGTATAAAGATGAAAAATCAAATGGTTTGACAGAATAGAACTTCGTTCTTTTCTGAGATTGCAAAAAGTCAAGCAAATCCTTTGTGTTTCGGGCAATCAACATGGTATTAATTCCACTTGTCTCAAATACTTTCTGTGAATGTAATGAAAGTCCTTCCTTGATTGTTTTAAGGATTATGTTACTCTTTGTGTCAGGGATGGGGTGCTACATTTGCTGGACCCAGCAATATGTCTCTCTTTGCACGGATTCTTATTGAGCTTTGGAATCCAGTACAAAAGCGGAATGGACATGTCTTCAGGTTTGAGAGTCAAGTCCAGTTTCCACATTTGCCAAACAAGGCTGGAATTCCGTGGTTCGATCGTATCGCCATCAGTGTTTATTACGAGTTATTTCCCTTCCATGCACCTCGTATTGACCAGTCAGATTCCACCTCTCATATCATATGCATATGCTTAAAAACAATGAGAATTTGTACGGTGGAGAGTTTATACCGGGACACCGGCACCCAGTCAAGGCGATCTGATCTATAGTCAAGATCCATATTGTAATAAAACTGGTTTTACGTCACGTATTGCATCAAATCACTAAAGCACCTTCATTACAAACATAAAAAGATTTAGAAAATACCCTTCGATACCTTCTTGACGGTACACATGATTCACAAATCCCCCAATCGACTGAAATCTGCATGACAGTCGCCGTGTTGATGTCGAATTCGTTACGCTTTTTTTATTGGACTTTGAATAGACTCGTTAATCCAGCCAAAATATGACTCCGAATTCCAGGCTAGTTTGGCTTAGTTGGAAACTGCATTTTGTATAGTCAGTTTTATAGACGTGGAGAGTTGCTCATAATATCAATCAATGGATTGTCTTGTTAAGGCTCAAATAAAATATACTGTGCGTGTACATACGTGAAACGTTTAGACTGTATGTACTTTGTTCTAGAAAAGACCGCGTGTTGTCGAAATTTCAAACGTGGTAATGAACCTCATTGGAGTGACTACAGAATATATTTACTGATTATTACTAGGTAATCAAAGTCACGATGTTTAAGACATATATCCTGAAGTTTAAATGCTAAATACGAAATAAGCTTTAAATACTTTTACCTCTCTTGGACACTAATAAAATAAGTTCGACTTTGAACATTATCAATGCATTTTTCTGATAACGGGTGACCATGGTCTTATTTAAATCAAGAACAATTTGCATTCCGAAAATTCATTCAGAAACATTTTGAGTTCCATCAGTCCAGAACATATCTTCATGGACGCCAGATCTCTTCTCTGCGAGAGTCTCTGACCCAACGCCATTTTGGTTACGCTGAGAATTCAGACTTGTGTATCGGAACTCAGAACATCATAAATTTTACATTAAACAGGTTCACATGCATGGGTGACACTATGTTGTGACTCATGTTCAATTTTCAGAATTTCAGTACAATCATTACATATTGGGCACAATGAACGTTTAGAAGAGATGCGTGTATGACTCTTATACTTCAGAATGAATCTTTACTCACAATTAAATGGCGACAGCGTGAGAAACTGACTTTGCTCAGATCTGATAACAAAAGGGGCTATTAAAAGAATGGCAGACTCTTTATTGAGGACATGCCAGATACTACTCTTGAAGGTGATGAGCATCAGTTGTCGGCTCCAGTCGCAGATCGCGACTCAAGTGGAACATCGCCAACTGTGGATCAGGAGCGGGTGCTGCCGTCAAGGTCGAAGGTTATGCAAAAGCATATCTAACATTGCAAGGAATATAGAAGATTTAACCAACAAACTGTCCGACATTGGCTTTGTTTCTTATGTATCTGAACATGACATTGTTGCTTTATATGAAACATAGTCAATAGAAAATTACTTTAGTGACATTTTTCCAGAATATAATCCTTTTTGTTTACCAGCCACAAAAAGGTCCAAGTTCTAGCGGTATTCGGAAGGAATACGTTTGATTTAATATTCACTGGTAAGATATATTATTGATGTTCGATGTGGTGAACATGCTATTACTATTCTATTGGATAAACGTATGTTCGGTTTTAGTAGAGCTTCATGTATGTTTACATATATTCAGCCGGAGAGATCGACCTGGTATGATAACAAAGATAGACAATATGGGGTAGAGAATTTGCTGTATTTTTTATTGAGTACACTGGAAGAGTACCCTGCTGTTTCTATCATTGTACTTGGATTTGTTTGTTTATTGTTTAACGCCGCACTCAACAATATTCCGGGTATATGATGGCGGTCTGTAAATAATCGAGTCTGGACCAGACAGTCCAGTGGTCGACATCATGATCATCGCTTACAGGCATTTTGGATATGTTGACATCAACGAAGTCAGCGATTCTGACCATCCGATCCCGTTAGTTGCCTCTTACGACAAGAATGGGTTGCTGAAGACCTATTCTACCCATGATCTTCCCGGGCCCATTGTACATGAACAGTGGAACCGTTGTGATGTTGGACTATGAGGAGAAAGATGTTATTCACCATGTTGAAAGTAATAATTACTTCGTAGATATTTTTTACACAATTTGAAATGGAAAGATATTCATGTGTTAAATTACTAAATAACTTTGCAAATACTCTTTTGAAAATGTGTTAAATTCCGAAAATACATATTGTGAATGGAAAATTTGGAACTAACAAATCGGTGAATGTAGGGTATTTAGTGAGTGAGTGAGTTGGGTTTAACGCCGCTTTTAACAGTATTCCAGTTATATCACGGCGCGTCAGCTTAATGTGGGAGGAATGCCTGAAGTGATGCTGGTCTCAGACGTTTACCCCCTCGGTGAAATCCACAAGCACGGGTATGGTGCAGACAAATCGAGAAACATAATCGGGGCGAACCGGGATTCGAACCCACAATCATAGGTTTCTGGTGTGTCCCAGGGACGCAACTCTGCTCAGCGAGTCGCGGCGCCTTAGACGACTGGGCCACTCGTGCCCCCTATTGGGCATTTAGGGTGTAGTGTAATAGTGTTATGGTTTAGCATCGAGTGACATGTTCCCCGATGATGATGAATGTAAAAAACATGAACGGTGCGATTATTTAAATGCGTTCAGAAGAAACTAAAGATAACTAATACCTTATTAAGTATAACAAAGTTTGCAATCACTTCAGATAACTGTGTGGAATCAAGAAGGACCGGTTTGCACAAAGTAAAAGGAGTGACCTAGAAAATGCAGCAGCGGTAGACTCAAAACGTTTCTTAGACATCATAAAGCGTGTCTGGATGACCGCAATGATCCAACCCCATTGATATACAAGACTTAGGGGACTATTTCTCGTCGCTGAATGTGTGAA